GTCAACCTGGTTTTCTTTTCTTTTCTTTCTTTTTTTTTTTCAACCTGGTTTTCATACTGAAAGGAGAAATTAGATTCCAGGGGGCAGGGAAGGCATGATGACCTTCCATTTGTGGTAATGAGGATGTTAGCTTCTCACACCCCCGCCCATCCCTCACATCTCTGTAGAACTATAAACAGTTTCATTTTTAAATTATGTTGTTTTTTTTTTTTTTTAAGTAGGCTCCATGTCCACCGTGAAGCCCAACATGCGGCTTGAACTTATGACCGTGAGATCAAGACCTGAGCTGAGATCAGGAGTCAGATGCTCAACCAACTAAGCCACCCAGGTGCCCCGAACAGCTTCATTTCTAATCTGGGCTCAGGGCTGTTGTTATTCTGATCATGTAAATGTGCACGACTGAGCCAAGTGGACATTCTATAATTATCGTTTCTTCCTTGTACAACTTCTGGTTTTCCCCCAGAGTTGATCATTGCTTAACTTTTTCTGGCTCAATCTCCTCTGAATCCAGAGCCAAGTCTTCTGCCCTCTAACAGGGTCTCAGTGTGATCCTGCACATGGTCAAGCCCGTTGGCTAATCTTTGTGTTCTGATGAGGGCTGGGCGGTCTCTGCTCAGGCTGTCAGTCAGCCCCCACCCCAGCCTCCTCCTCGGGGTGTCCTTCCTTTAGAGGAGCTGGAGGGAGGAAGCCAGAAAGAGGAAGACTAGGAGACAAGGCCCTCTGCTTGACATGTAGGTGGGGATGAGGATACCCAGGCCAGCATCCAGGAGAGTAGGTGGCTAGAAATGGCCCCAACCTCTCCAATATCTTCCCCACTTTCTATGCTCACCTGGCAGCCCTGACACCCATGTGGCCTGGCTGACAGTAGAGCTGTCCATTGCCCTGGCACGGTGACTTTCTGCCTGTTTGTATGGATCTGTGGGGGATCCGGTGAGACAACTGTTTGGAGCACTTACCAGGGCAGCCACTGTTTTCTGCTCTGTTCCGCCACCTGCCCACCCCCCAGTAGTGCTTGCCTCCTGCCTCTGCAGCTGCCTCTGCCAGCTCCTGCGCTCCCTTCCTCCCCCACAAAGGGAGCCACAGCTGAATCAACATCACAAAAGGAAGTTACTGGTAGGAAAAAAAAAATCGAAAAGAAAATAAAAGCAAAGATGGGGGAAGGGTCAGGAAAAGACAAAGAGTTGGGGCAGAAGGAAGTTGGCAAAGGAATGCAAGATAGGAGGGTGTGAGCCGGGAAAGTGCTGTCACAGCCTTGCTGTTGACCTAAGTGCCATCACATCACAGCATCCTTTCAAGGGTCAAGCTTGTTTTCTGCCTTTTTTTTTTTTAAAGATATATGTACTTATTTGAGAGAGAGAGCGTGCACGCAGTGTGTGGACTCAAGTAGGGAGAGGGGCGGGGGGAGAGAGACCCCCAAGCCCACTCCTGGCTGAGCACAGAGCCTGACTTGGGGGTGGATCCCATGACCCTGAGATCACGACCTGAGTGGAAACCAAGCGTCAGACACTCCACTGTCTGAGCCGCCCCCGGCGCCCCCGTGCTCTGCCTTTTGAGTGCTGAGTGGTTGTTTCTTCAGTGCCTCCTCTGATGAGTGGGCCCCCAGGGGTCATGCCCTGCTCATCATACCCACACAGCGTCGTGGGCTGCGTGCCTGACTCTCCAACCTTTCCCCAGCATCGGCCAAGATACCGAAGCCCTGCCTGGGATTCTCTATGAAAGGAGCCTCATTTTCTCCATCATTAAAATATTTTATCATGGGGCAGCCCGGGTGGCCCAGCAGTTTAGCGCCGCCTTCAGCCCAGGGCCTGATCCTGGAGCCCCGGGCTCGAGTCCCACGTCGGGCTCCCTGCATGGAGCCTGCTTCTCCCTCTGCCTGTGTTTCTGCCTCTCTCTCTCTCTCTCTCTCTCTCTCTCTCTCTCTCTCTCTGTGTGTGTGTGTGTGTGTGTCTCATGAATAAATAAATAAAATTTAAAAAATTATCATCTTCAAAATCTCACAACGGAGTCCCCCGTAATCCTCTCGGCGCCGTGTACTGTGGGGATGCGGCTGGGAGGGAAGGGGCGCTGGGCGTGCCCAGGCCAGCACTCGGGGCAGCCAGGGCATGGAAACAGCCTGCCTCCCACATCTCTTCCTCCTTTCTGCAGCCTTGGCTGGCGCCAGCCCCCCACCCCTGTGCCCTGAACACTTTGGGGGAGCCCTTCTCATTCCGCCTTGCATCACCGTGGCATGCCGGTCCCCGAGCTGGGCCCTGGCCTTGCAGAGGGCACTAACTGCCGGGCCAGGTGCCAAGGCCTCACTGACCGCCCGACGACGTGCAGCTGATCTCCTGGACGCTTAGGTGAAAGCGGCTGCAAATGGAAGCTATTGGCCACCTTATAGGGAAAGGCTGTCCTCAGAATTCTGTTCTGTCATCTTTTCTCAAAGCCCAAGCGTCCTCCCTCATGGGCACTGCCCCCGGAGGCGCCGCTGCTCGGACCGTCCTATCCTCTGCGTCACACCCTCACCTCCGAATGGACAGCCCCTCGGTGCGCACCCCAGTCTGTCACCCGAGTCGGCGGCACCGAGCCCTGGTTCCACGGCCTCGGAGGTGGGGTGCACCGTGGGCTCTCTAGCCGTCTCCCTGTTCGCAATCTACTTAAGTGGTTCGCCAGCGTCGCATGGCGCTGGCGGTCGGGGTGTGCTGCGAGGAAGAACGGACGTGCCCGGTGCCCCGGTAAACGCGTGGTGCCCGTAGCGCCCCTTACCTCATGGCCCCTCCAAACCTGCACCTGTGCCAAGTGCTCTCTCACTTGGTTGGGGTGTCTGCCTTCCTGGCGGCCCCCGTCTCCGCACCGCTGGCTTTCGTGCGGCCCCCGGGCTTCCTCCACTTGGCATAAGGCTTGGGACTCACTCTTGGTGCTGACGTTCTAGTACGCGCGTGTGACGCCACGGACTCCGCTCAGGGCGCTGCTGTACCTTCGGCTTCCTGGAGATGTGATTCGCAGCACTTCAACCCACCCCTTCAACATTTTCTGATTTGCCTGGAGGCCTCCATTTGACCCACGGATTATTCAGAAGTGTGTCTCTCCGGAGCTTTCTCTAGGCCTCTCTGCTGCTTATTTCCTGGTTTTAATTCCACGAGGCTACAGGATGTGTCCGGTGGGACTTCAGTCTGCGGGTCTATTTTGTCACCTGAAGACATTTGCCTCGCAACCAGCGGGTTTAGACCATTTACAACTAATGTAATTATTTGAAATGGTTGGATTTAGGTCTGTTGTTTAAAGTTTTGTTTGTTCTCTGTTTTCCATTTTCATTTCCCTCCCCTGTTGTTTTTTGTTTTGATCTTTCAGGTCGCATAAGTGTTTTTAGCGCTGCATTTTAATTTATCAGCTGGGGATGCCTGGGTGGCTCAGCAGTGGAGCATCTGCCTTTGGCCCAGGTCATGACCCTGCAGTCCTGGGATCAAGTCCCACATCGGGGTCCCCAAAGGGAGCCTGCTTCTCCCTCTGCCTGGGTCTCTGCCTCTCTCTGTGTGTCTCTCATGAATGAATGAATGAATGAATGAATGAATAAATAAAATCTTAATTTATCAGCTGGCATCCTGACCGAGGATTTTGCCAGCACTCCTTGTCTCCACCCATCAGGTCATCCCTTCCCAGCCCAACGTCCAGAAAGCGGGGGCTTCTCTTGGCCACATGCACCATGCTCATCTGGGGTGCTGGCTACCTTGAACTAAGCCTGGGGTCTTGGGGGGGAACAGAACATTCCCCCCATATCAACCTTTCATCAGGTTTTGACTTCTCACCCTGATCTTTCAGAAAATTGCTCTATTTCACTCTGTGTGATATCTGTAGTTGGGATCTGGTAGAGATGGAGTGGAGTGTGCTTGCTTGGCCTCAGCAGGGGCTCGAAGCTGCTGGTGGCTCCTTTTTCCTGCCAAATGGTCTCCATTTTGTTTCATTTCTTACGAGTTCATTAAGGTAGAATTTACATGCCAATACTCACGGATTTTAAGTACAGCATCGAATGATTTTAGCAAATTTACAGAGTTGTGAAATCCTCACCACAGCCCAGCTTTAGCACATTTCCATGACCTCACACAGTCCTCTTGCTCATTCGTAGTCACTCCCTGTTGTTCCTTTTTTAAAATAAAATAGCTCAAGACTACAGGAAAGTGTGAAGACCAGCATCACCAACACCCACATACCCGCCATCCTCATCCGTCCGATCTTAACATTTTGCCTTTTACTTTGCCCAGAATGTTTCACCCTTAAAATTTTAAAGTTAAAGACCTCTGTGCTCCCCTCCGAGGAGTCCTCTGTCCCCTGTGCCTTCAGAGGTGACCACTGTCCTGAGCTGGGGACTCATGAGCGCATGGCTGTCTCCTGCATCGCGTGGACCGCGTGCTATCACACCACACGTCCTTCTGCAAGCCCTGCGCTCGAGAACCTCAGCGTCGACATTGGGAGGTGACTTGCAGATACACACGGATCCGCAGAAAACACTTAAATTGCTGGTTTTCATCCCACCGTGTGAACGTCCCACAGCGCGTCTCCCGACTCTGCATTCGGTTTGCTGCCAGTTTCTCGGGACTCCGGGTATTTCCTTAACGTCACCCTTTGGTTAGCAGCTCCTTTTCTCCTACTGTGCCCATGGATTTGGCCTCCTTAGGACGTTTGTACTTTAGAACATGTCGAGATTTCCCTGGTGGCTTAATAGATGATCCGTTCGTTCGTGGGTTGGAGAGAAGGGGTCACATTCCTCAGATTCTCTACAGGCCTCACTGGCGTTTCTGTTCGCATCTGAGAGAAGCACCGTGGAGACCACGGTGGCCGGGGCCACCTGCTAACGGGGCTGTCAGTTTTTGTTCTACGTATTTTTGCAGCTGTTTTGTGCAGCACAGAAAGATCTGCGACAGCTCAGCTTTCCTGGTGGATTATGAATTCTCTGACCTCCATCGTTCCTTAAGCATTTAACGCGTTTTTTGCCTTGAGTTCTACATTTTTTTTTTTTTTTTTAGGGAGGAAGAGGAGGACGAGGGGCTGAGGGAGAGAGAGACTCTTCTGTAGGCTCCCTGAGATCATGACCTGAGCTGAAATCAGGAGTCGAAGGCGTCACTGACTAAACCGCCCGGTGCTCCTTGAATCAGACCTTTCGATATCATCATTTCTACATAATTGTGAGTATTTCCCAGCACATACTACGTTTGTCTTCTAGTCCTCTATTTTAACAGTTTATCTAACAGGTAGCTTTTTTTTTTTTTTGCCCTTTTTTCTTTTTAATTGTGGTAAACAAACAAACAAACAAACAAAAAACCCACACAACATCAATTTAACTCTGACCACCCTTCCCATTTTTAAGTGCCCGGTTCAGACGTCACTTCCACATTGTGTGCAGACAATTTCCAAAACTTTCTCATCATGTAAAACTGAAAGTATCCCCCTTAAGCAACTTTACACTTCTCTTTGCAGTGAAAAAAAACAAAAAAACAAAACAAAACAAAACAAAAAACCTTTTATGCTACGGAAAATCGTACACAGCCACGAACGTGGAGAGAACAGTTCCGTGGGTCCATACGTCCTCAATATTTGCTTCACCAATCTTCAGCTCCCGGCCGCTCTTGTTTTATTTATGCTCTCACCCACTGTTGTCCCAAAATGAGAAAAATGTTTTAAAACTATGAAAGAGGGATACCTGGGTGGCGCAGCGGTTTGGCGCCTGCCTTTGGCCCAGGGCGTGATCCTGGAGACCTGGGATCGAATCCCACGTCGGGCTCCCGGTGCATGGAGCCTGCTTCTCCCTCTGCCTGTGTCTCTGCCTCTCTCTCTCTCTCTCTCTCTGACTATCATAAATAAATAAATTAAAAAAAATAAAAAATAAAACCAAGAAAGAGAAAAGAAGGGAGTTTTTACTGGAGCCCCATGAGGCCAACTGCCCGGGCTCCGCAGAGCTCACAGGGAAGACTGTGCTTGGGGAAGGGGTGGTCGGCGCAGAGTTACGTATGGTTTCTCATAGAATTACCGACCATGGCGACGAAGGACATTCCAGAAAGCCACAGACTTTATCTTATGTTCTTGGTGTGGGCGAGGCTGTGTGACTTTAATCTTATGGGAGTCAGGGAGGGCTTTTTGTTTTTCTTACCTTTATACTTGGAATGCTCCTTTCTGTTTTTTTTTTTTTTTTTTTTTTTTTTTTAACAAAGCAGACGTACAGTGTGTGCTCCGGGCAGAAGTAGAGTCCATGCTTTGAGCTTTTGCTGAGTCATTTTGACCTCGGGTAGATGTTAAGATAGGGCTCCCCTGGGAGCCCACACCCCGTGCATGAGAAGGTGAACATCTCCTTTATTTCACCACCCTTCCTCCATCAGCCGACCCCATTCCTCATCGTTTGGCAGCACACCCAGCGCATCATATCACGTCATCTGTAGATACTTCAACGCGTCACTCTCAAAGGCGACAACGCTTTCATATAATCACAAAATCTTTATCACGCCTACAAAAATTAACAGTAATTTAAAAAAAAGATTTGTTTATTTGTTTGAGGGGGAGTGAGCGAGCACAGGGGGTGGAGGGGCAGAGGGAGAGGGAATCCCCAGGCGCCCCAGCAGTAATTTCTTAATATAGCAGATCCATGCATCGTGATCGGTTGATTTTTCTCCCAAATCCTTTAATCTGCGGGTTCCTGGGCCATGTCTTCTCCCTCCCTCTTCTATCTCTCGCAGTTTGGGGTCTTGGCGCTTGCATCCCTGTGGTGTCATTAACAGGTCCCTCTGTCCCCTGTTCTTCCTACAACCTGTTAGTTAGATCTAAAGTCTTGGTCTGAGTTGGGTTCGGCAGTAGCAATTGCTGTACTTAATTTATCAGTGTCTAAATTTATACTGTTTCACCCAGACAGCTCCATAAAAGGCATGTGCACAGTAAGCGGTATCTGTCTCTGTGGTGTCGGGGCCGGTGACAGTCACTGCTTTATCTCATGAGCCGCCAGTGGGGGTGACTTGGGGACAGTCTCAGTCTACCTTTCTTCGTTATTCTCTGGAATCATTCCGTAATGAACAGATTCCCATGAAGAGAGCAAGATCCCACGAAGGATCTTGTCCTGTCTCTTTATTTTTAAAACTCAATGTGAGAATCGTTTATTTGAAGAGGGAGATGGCAACCCACTCCTAGGTGTTGTGATTCCTGAACTTCTGGAATATTCTAGAACATTTGAAATCATTCCTGGGGCACCTGGGTGGTTCAGTCGGTTAAGTGTCTGACTCTTGTGTTCGGCTCAGGTCATGGTCTTGGGGTCATGAGATCGAGCCCTGCATCAGGCTCAGCACTCAGTGGGGGAGTCTGCTTGGGGTTCTCTCTCCCTCTCCCCTGCCCGTGCCCCAACTCGTGCCCCCTCTCTCTCTCTTTCTCATAAATAAATAAAATCTTTAGAAATACGATCATTCCTGATATCTTATTGTATGTTTTTAATTTACAATCCTTTCTTATTCATTCTATTTCTTCTTCCTTTTTTATTCTTATTTTTTTCTTCTTCCTTTTTTTAAAACAAGATTTGTCAAATTTTCTTTTTTTTTAGATGCATATATCCTATTTAAATTCTTAAGAAGACTCTCTGTTCTTACATATAATATCAAATACCTCCTCTTAAAATGTCCATTGACGAGCGTCAGGAACAGCAGTGTGCTCCCCTGGTCTCCTGTTATTTTTGTTTCAGATTCTTCATATTTTTACCTCTATTTTTAAAACCTACAGTTACATAGGCTTGGTCATTTCTGCTTACATCCTTGCTCACCTCTGTGTCACGCACCCTCGTGTCCCCGTTGGATGTGTGCGTCTGCCCGTGTGTCTGCCTGCCTCCTGCTGGAGAGCATCCTTCGCGCACAGTGCAGGGACCTAGGGGTCTGCGTCCTGGTTCATCTGGAGATGCCCGGTTTTGTTTCTGTGTGGACCTGACCAATCCTGCCTCCTCTGTCCATCCCCGTCCCCCACCTGAATCCCCCGCACCTCGCGGCACCCTCTCATGCTATCTGCTCTGTCCTGCAAGGGCATCAGGAGCGTCCCGAGGGCATGTGGCCTGCTGCCCCAGCCCCTCTGTGGGACCTGCAGCTTCTCCTGGCACCGGGTGTCTGCTCCTCCTTGTGCACAGGTCTTGCTCCCAGGCCCGGCGGGCTGATGGGTGTGGGCATCATGCATCTGCACCTGTCTTGCCTCTTCCGACCTCTGTGCTGGGGCTGCTCCTGCCCTGCTCACCATTCTGCTCCTCAGTTCCTGTCATGCTTTTCATCTCCGTGACCAAAATCCTAATTCCCGGCCCCTGATGGAGGCACCTGCCTCTCCTGCGTGTGCAGTCTGCAGGCCGGGCCCCTGTCCCAGGGTGCAAGTCCGTGGTCCTCCGTGCTGCAGGGCACGGCCACCTCCGCCCATGGGGGTGAATCCTTGCGCCCACCATAGTACCTGGGCCACACTGCTCATCCCTCCCTCGTGCTGTTCTGCTCGCCGAAGGTGTGTGACGAATGGCAAGCCCCTCGTCTGCTTGTGTGGCCCTCCCTGGACACCCGAAGGCGGGAGCCAATGCAGAGTGCAGGGCTGGGGTCTGACGGGACACTTGTGGTGTGCAATCAGCCACATGTAACTACTTCCTCTGAAGCAGCTTTGGAGCAGCTTCTTCAGAACAGGAAGCACCGTGCCCTCACCAGTAGGGCTCACCGGCCTGTTTCTCAACCGTGCAGCAGCCCAGCCTGGTGAAGAGCGGAGCGGTCGCCCCTTCCCTGCCCAGCCCGGACACCCACCGAGGTCACCAGCATCAGTGGGGTGAGTGTACAGGGGCTCCTCTGTGTCCAGCTTCTTCTCCTGGAGGGGAATGGTTTCCCCGGGGAGCGGCCCAGCCCTGGAGAGGACCCTGTAGCCTGGTCCCTGGTACCTGCCTGGGGCCGGTCCATGCCAGGCCCCCCTTCCTGAGATCCGGTGGGGGGTGAGCGCTGTGCCCACCGCGGGCAGAGCCACACGGGACACTGGGAACATCCGTCATGAGGGGCAGGAGGTAGCATGGCAGGAGGACGGGCCAGACCTTCAGCCTCGACCGCTGGGCCTGAGGTCCCTGGCGAGCCCCTGATGTGAGCCAGAGGGCGGCTGGGGGCAGGCGAGACCCCCAGAGGAGCCGCAGCAGGTGGAACCGGGGCTGTGCGGGGAGTCTGGGGCCCCAGCCTGCCTCTCTTCCTGCTCGAAGAGGCCTCCAAAGTTGGCAGCAGTGGTCCAGCCTCCCACGGAGTCTGTGCGTGTGTGTGTTGTGTGTGAGCATGTGAACATGTGTGCAAATATGTAAAGGTGTGTTTACGTGAAGATTTGAGTATGTGGGATGTGTAGGTTTGTGAGTGTGTGAGGTACGTACCGGCATTTGGGGTGCGCGAGCGTGTGTTGCGCGTGTGCACATGTGAGTGTTGTGGGGGTTGTGTAGGCGTGCGAGTGCATTCTCCCAGCGGGGTCCACCTCTTCTCTTGGACTTTCAGAGGGTCGTGAGCTGGGGCTGGGGAGGTGTCACCTGGGAGCTGAGTTTCAGGGGCAGGTGTCTGGTGTGTGACTCAGTGTCCCACCTAGGCTCCGGGGAGCGGGGGGCCTGGACCCTGGGTCTGCCTGGATTCCAGCCGGCGGCACCTCACCCGCAGTCCCCCAGGGTCGCCTCCCCCTGGCGCCCTGTCCTACCCGCACCCAGGGCTGGGAGCCAGCCCTGCACACCCACTGGGGCCCGAAGCACTGCTCCTTTGAGGACGCCTGGGACCCCGAGGGGGCAGGGAGGAGCGGCCCCCTTGCCCCACGTCCTCAAGGAAGGTTCTGGCGGCAGTGGCCGGGCCCTGGGCTCGGTCCCACATCCTGTGCAGGCGCGAGGCCTCTGTGTGCACGCCTGACGTCCAGGTGACCGGGGACCACTCTGCCGGCTGTCACCGCGCTGGGGAGCTGGCAAGTGCATCCGCGAGCGGGTGGGGAGCTGGCTGCGCAGAGGCCGGGGCGGGGTCCGAGGGGGCATCTCGGGGAGGCTGGGCCTCCGCCCCCCGCCCTCCGGGATTGCTCCCTGCTCCACCGTGGGGAGGCCCGGTGTCAACTCTGGGTGCCGCTGAGCTGTCCCGGGGCCAGGAGCGCTGAGCGCAGCCCGGGCCTCGTCTGCAGCCCGCTCCCTGGGGGACTGCGTGCTCTTGGGGGGACGGGGCCTGACCGGTGGTTCAAGCACCAAGTGACTCCACAATCGCACGTGTAGTTCGGCACCACTTCTGGGGCTCGGGGAGCGGGCAGCCAGCAGACCCGGCCTCGGCGGGACCCCCAGGGGGGCAACCCAGATAGGAAGGGGGGTCCCGGGGTCGGTGGGTCGCTCTCACCCTCTCTCCACTGTGTGGGACCCACGGCGGAGCAGGTGCTCCCATGGGAGACACATTTTCCAGCTGATGCTGGACCGGAGCCTCGACATCTGGGCCCAGGGGCCCTTGGTACCCCGGACCCCGTGCACCCACTGCCTCCTCAGGGTGCCACCTCCCGGTTTCCCACTCCGGGACCCTCGGCCACGAGGCCACCATCACCCTCTTGCGCCGGATGGGCTCCTGAAACGCCGTCTCTGGCGCCCGGAAGGTGTTCTTTTGGACCAATTCTCAGTGGCTTCTTGGTGATATTTTCTCCCTTCCTTTTTATGCTCAGAAGCTCTCCCGACCTGCAGGTGCACATCCTCCCGGTCCTTCCACCACGCTGTTCCCCACACGGAGCGCGCGTGGGCCTCTGGTGGGAAGGGGCCCCTTCCTGGGGAGCCCCCCCACCCGCCCGTCGCCTTCCAAGGCTGCTGCGCCACCCGCTCAGGGCCTCTGACTCGCCCACGGGCACGCGGCCTGCTCCCCGCCGCTGCCGTCGTGACCTGTCCCACAGAGCGGCTGGGCCTTCGACACGGCTCGTCCGCTGCTGCCAGGGAGACAGGTTCTGCTGTGTCAGCTTTAGCTTCCGTTTCATCTTCCGCCTCACGACGCGCCCCGCAGGTGCGTCCCCACCTCCCGCACCGGGCCCTGCGCCCGCGGGGTCCCCTCCGTCCTCGTCTCAGGGGAGCACACAGGGCAGTGGGCTTCACACCCTGTGAGGCCGCTGAGCGCGGGGCCGAGGATGCTGTCTGCAAGTACCCCGTGGACCCCCTGACCTGAGTCGTGCCCAGCAGCAGAGCTTTCACATCTTCTAATGAGTACGTGGGAGGACGTGTCACCGTTTTCCTGTGGCCAGATGCTGCGGCCCTCGGGAGGCCTCTGCTCCTGGACTTCCCACAGTGGCGCGGTGGTGGGGCTGGCGCCCTGAGGGCACGCGTGCCGCATGCGGCCTGTGCATGGCAGCCCCCCCCCCGAGGCTTGTCCAGCCTCCTGCCAAGCTCCCAGAGCCCCCGTGTGTCCAGGCATCCTGCCCCCACGGGGCTGGGGGGCTGCAGGGGCAAGCGCCTCCTCCGGCCTCTGGGCCCGTCTGCGGCCTCTGAGCTCCTGCTCTGACCGCGGCTTCTGTCCAGGTCTGGGGGCTCGTGTGGGAAACAGAAGTGACCCCATCTCCACGTTCTCTCTTTTGGTGCAAAGAGGCTGACTGGTGCCTGTTTGAGAGCCGTCGCAGACATTTGCTTATTTTCTCCGTCAAACACGTTTGAATCCCCCAAGCTCCTGGGGTGAATGCAGGTGTGTGTGGGGGGTCCCCTGCCTCCCTTTTGTGTTTGTTCCAGGGGTTCTGAAATTCGGTGATTCATCAGTTGCAGGTCACACCCGGTGTGCATCACATCACCCACCACCCCCACCTCCTCCCACCTGTGAATTTTCCCGGCAGCACCTCCCGCCCCCACCCCACCCCCGGCACCCGATGCGGGGAGCCCCCGTCAGCTGCATGGACTGGTTCTCAGACCCAGCGGCCTGGAGGCACAGTGGGTCTCCAGTGGGGCTCTCCAGTGGCCTAGCTCAGGGGTTGCACTTTTGCAAAACCTCCGACTTTTGTTGTAAGGTGGGTCGGGAGCCAACGGTGAAGAAAGAATTCTTGAGGCATCTTTGGTGCAAAAAGGTGGTTTTATGAAAGCCCAGGGATGGGACCGTGGGCAGGAAGAGCTGCTGGGGATTGTGGGAGCGTTGGGAGAGTAGAGAGAAAGGAAATTTCTTTTGTTTTCTTTTTCTTTTTTAAAGATTTTACTTATTTATCCATGAGAGAGAGAGAGAGAGAGAGAGAGAGAGAGGCAGAGACCCAGGCAGAGGGAGAAGCAGGCTCCATGCAGGGAGCCTGGTGCAGGACTCGATCCCGGGACCCCGGGGTCACGATCTGAGCCCAAGGCAGATGCTCAACTACTGAGCCCCTCAGGGGCCCCCAGAGAAATCAAATTCCTAAAGGGATTTTCGTAGCTGAAGCCACAGGACCCTGGAGGTCACACTATGGGAAGCTAAGGTGGCTTCTGGCCTCCCGGGAAGCGTTCGCGCTACCGCAGTTGTGAGCTCCTGCGGGATCGTCCAGCGGGTCCTCAGGGGTTCCTTTGATCAGCATCTCTTCATCGGTGACAGGAAGCCTGATGTGACACCCTTGCCATCCTGACTCTGCAGGCCGCCCAAAGTGTTTTCTTGCTAAGGTTTCCTCTTTTTCTTGTCTTTCACCAAATATGGTGTGTGTGGTGCGGGACGGGGGGTGACTCGCTGGGCTCTCCGAGCCTGGCCGTGAAGAGCTGATCCTCCCGAAGGTGGCCTTGGTCCTCCGCATTCACGCTGCGGGTGCTGCTCGGGCCAGGGGCAGAGGAGCACCAGGCCCAGGTCTCGGGGCTCCAGGAAGCCACCCCACAGGAGACTCCCAGACCCGCGACTTCCCGCGGTCACACTCAGGTTGCGCCAGGATCCTCCTGGCAGGCAGGGTCATGCAAGGGTGGCTGTGTCGCAAAGTCCTCTCGGCCGGGAGGACCCTGGGTTTCTCAAGCACCCGGGTCCCCGTGAGGGGCCCACCCTTCTCTCCGGGGAGACAAGGTGGAAGGGCTGGTAGAGTGGGGTGCCCCACCTCGGTGGCAGGGCGGCAGGAGGGCCTGAGCGGCACCGGCTGCACCCGTGGCCCTCGCTCCTCTTCCTCCTCCTCCTCGCTCAGCTCCGCCTGGGCCCCACGTGCCCTCCTGCTCTTGTGCCAGGGTCCTTCCAAGTCCAGTGCCCACGGGGACAGGTGCTGCGGTGCTCCAAGCCGGGCCACCACTGGAGCGGGTAGGCCTATGCACCCTGCTGCGCCCAGAGGGACCCAGGCTTGGCGGGCAGTCCCCGTGCTGCTGGAGGGGCTGGGTTGCAGGACTCCACCCAGGGGAGGCCCCCATGGCGGGGTCTCCCGCGGCCTATACATGGCGACCCCCGCCCCCTGAGGCCGGCCTCCCTCTGAGCTCCCAGAGCCCCCGTGTGTCCGGGCATCCTGCCCCCGCGGGGCTGGGGGGCTCCAGGGGCGAGGAGCGCTTGGGGACAGGCCGCCACCAGCCCCCGCCCAGCCACCCAGGGTCAGGGCCAGGCCATCTCGGCCTGGGCGGTGTCGCCGTGACCGCGGCTGTCCCCTCTCGTGGGGGCCTTGGCACCCAGGCCCGCACCTGGCCATGGCTTGGGCCTCGGCTCTCACGTGACGGCCCGAGGAGCTTCCGTGCCTGCTGCTGTGACTGTCTGGGGGCCCGGTCTGTGGCCGCCGGAGAGCCAGGCGGGGCTGGGGTAGCCGCTCGCCCTGCTGGAGCTCCGGGGGCCCAGGGTGCCTGGGGCAGCACCAGGTTGGTGGGCACACCCGAGGCAGTGTGAGCAATCGGCTGCGGAACCTCGGAGGGGCCCGGATGCAGCGGGGAAGGCTGGAGCCGGCCTAGCCTGAGCCCCACGTGCCCACAGCGGGCGACAAGGGGCTTTGGCTAATAAACGTGCGGGGCCTGGACTGCACCCAAACTGCCTCCCCGGCCCATCCGGCACGGCTCTGACCCAGGAAGCCACGGCACCATGTGGCTTCTGCTTTTGACCCCAAACGGGAAGGATGGAGGGTTCTGTTTTGACATTTCTGGGTCCTGATTATGATCTTGGTGGGGCCCAGGGAGCAGGGTCACCTCCAAAGAGACGGAGAGTGAGGCCGCGCGGGGCTTCCAGGCGCAGGAGCCCCAGGCTGCAGGCTGGTTCTCCCAGGGCCCCCGGGGGCACAGAGGCCCGTGTTCCGAGGGCGGGGCCGGGGCCCCAGCAGGGGTGGTGCTGCCCATGCAACCCGAGCCCCGCGTGCCGTGGGTCAGAGGGCCCCTGTCTGCCCTGAGGAACCAGAGCAAGGCCCTGAACGCCAGGCCTCAGCCTCCCCAGCGCCCAGCCTCCAGGAGTGACCGTGCCCGGTCCACGCCCTGCCTCAGGTGCTAGGTGTCTACGGACAGCAGGTGTGTCCAGATAACGTGACGGTGGCCTGGAGCTGTGGCCTGGGCGAGGCCGACACGGGCTGTGCGCGCTGGCTCGCTCCTGCGGGGGCGTCTGAGCGGGCGGCCGGCTCAGGCCTGGCACCCGGGAGGCGCTCCGGTCCTCGTGCCCGGTTCACTGGGGACCCAGGCGTGGGACGGCCGCAGCCCTGACCCAGAGCGTGCGCACCCTACGTGTGCTGTGCGCGTGCTGTGCGTGTGCTGGGCAGGGGCCCCGGGGTCCCCGGCAGGGCCCTAACCCCTCGGGCCTCCTCTCCTGCGGCAAGGCCGTGGGGGGCGTGTCCTGCACCCACGCAGCGCGGCCGGGCCTCCCAGCTCTGCACCTGCCGGCGGCCAGCCCAGGGTCCAAGGCGGTCCCTGAGCCCCCCTCCCTCCCCAGGACATGCTGCGCCACAGCTCCCTGCTGCTCACCCTGGAGGGGCTGCTCTTCCTCTGGGCCGGTGAGTCCCTCGCGGGCAGCTCCGCACGACACAGCCCACCACGTCCCGGGGCGGGGAGAGCAGACCTGCCCCCTGTCCTGCCCCCCAGGGCAGCTCCGCCCCGACCCGGGCCTCCTGGGGACCCTCCTTCTCCACCACCCCGTGTGTGGGGCTTCCCTGCCCCCATCCATCGGCAGCGCCGCGTGGGGTCGGCCCGCGTCGGGCCACCTCTCACGGAGCCGCCTCCTCCTGCCGCCAGCGTTCTGCCAGGAGTGCACCAAGTACAAAGTGAGCACGTGCCGGGACTGTGTGGAGTCGGGGCCCGGCTGCGCCTGGTGCCAGAAGCTGGTAAGAGCCCCCCCCCCCCCAGGGTCCTCGCACCGTCCTGCCCGTCCCGCGTTCCCGTCCCCGTTCCTGTCCCCGCGCCCTCCCTTTGCCTCTGGAGCTGGGCACCAGGGGGGCCACCACTCTGTTTCCGGGGAGGCACGAGCAGCCTGGGGGCTGAGAGACGGATAGACAGACAGACTCGGCCCCACCCCAGGGCAGCCTGGGGCCACCCCGGCCATGTGCCCCCTGCCCAGGCAGGAGCCCTGAGCAGGGACCATAGGACGTGAGGAGGTTGTCAGGAAGTGAGAGCACAGGGACGAGGTGTGGGAGGCTCGGCACGGGACCTTTGTGCTTCTCACGTGGCGGCGCGACCCTCCTGTCCTGGGCCCATCCACCTCCTGGAGAGAAGCCCCAGGCCCTGCCCGCGGCCCACTCCCCCTGCGCCCCTGTCCCGACCATGCCCTCCCGTCCTGGGGGTCCCTGAGGTTCTGACGCTGCAGGACGGGCCGGAGACGCATGCGCGCACTGAGGGTAGACGGCAGACCTGAAGCCCCTTTGTCCCTCGTTACTTCAAGCATCTGTCTTAAGCTCAGAGCACCTCCCCCCCACACCCACCACACGCTCCTCCCGGGACTGGACCGTGGCCACGGCACCTGCTCACGTCTGCACGCCCTACGCAAACGTTCCCAGCTGCGCCCATGATGCCCTCGATCGCGCTTGCCCCGGGCTGTGCGATGACCCAGGATCACACACGGCAGCAGGTGTCCTGGCCCTTCAGTTCCCCGGAACCGGGAGCCCCTCAGCTTTGGGTCACGCACCCCCCCCCCGCCTGGCACTTCCGAGGGTCTCAGAGCAGCGGCCGCTAGGAGGCCCGGCGCTCGCTCTCCCTGGGTCCAGGGAGTGTGTTTGGGCAGGTGCCCCGCACGGGGCTCACGACGTGCCTCTGTCCCCACACTGGTGATGCTGGTGAGAGCCCCCCAGCCGAGGGGCGTCGCCTCCACCGCGATGTCACCATTAGCTCTTTGCGGTTAATACGTGACTTGTGGGGTGATGCACATGGCCAGGAGGCCTACTTCCTGTGAAGCTTACACCCCCTGACGTTAGCGCCCGGGGGCGGGGGGGCACCCCAACCAGTCCGGCGAGGGCTGCACCGTGGGGGCGTCCAGCGCGTGCACTCCCCTGTGGCTCCTGGTGTAAGGAGGACTTCATCCACCTCCCCCGTCTCTGTCCCATCAGAGCGTCCAGCAGGCACACCTCCGCGTCGATTTTCTGAGCACTTTTTTTCTTTTCTTTTCTTTTTTTTACATTTTTTAAATTTAAATTTAATTTGCCAACATATGATATAAGACCCAGTGCTCATCCCATCGAGTAGTGACATGCCCCAGGCCCAGAATCGTCCTCGCCCCCGCCGGGGAATCTGGCGGTTCTCCGCAGGCTCCTGCCTCCCTTTCAGGAGAAGCCGGGCTCCGGCCCCCGCAACACGTTTCCTCCTTTTCTCCGTCCCTGCCCGACGCGGCAGGGGCTTCGGAGCGGCCGACCCACGCCCCGGCCACAAGCGCCTACAGGGAAGTGGGGTGCCGGGTGTGGTCTCCCCCCTTGGACACGGTGTGGCCGCAGCTCCGGGGGTGAAACGTCCCCGGCAGGTTGGAGTTCCCCATTCCCTGCGACAGAGCTCGTTAGATTCCTTGGAAATAGGGTGAGGCTCGTTAGCTTCCACGCGAATGCGGACTGCAGCGTAGGCCTTTGTTCCCGGGGGGCTCGCTTTGTCCCTCGGGTCCTGCGAGCAGTGACAGAGGTCCCGAGGGAGACTGGCGGCTCGGAAAGTGCCCACCCTCCGGGCGCCGCGGTGGGCCGCACCTAACCAGCATCCGGCATGGCCCCCTGCCCCTTCCTGGGCCCCCCTGAGAAAGGGGGCAGAGAGACGTGTCTGGGTCCCTGAGCGTGCCCTTCCTTGGCCTGGCGTCAGGACCCACAGAACGGGGCCCCTGCTCCCACCCCGTCCTCTCAGAGCCCAGGGGCCTCTATGAGGACGCTGCCCTGATCCAGGACCACGCACGCCTCTCCCAACAGCCTGGGGCTTGGCCCAGTGGCCGGCCTGTGTGCTGGAGCCCCCGGGGCGGCACCTGCCTCCTCTCAGGAGGGCGCCTCTGCTACTAAAGCCCCGGCCACCCCGGCCACTCCTGGCCAGGTGCCCCGGCAGGGCCTGGAGCTGCTGAGCGACCCCAAGGGCAGCTGGGGCCTGGACACCTTGGTCCTTCCATCATCTGGGGTGACCCACAGCCTCAGGGAGAGGCCGTCAGAGGGCAGGTGTCCTCCTCCCACCCAGCTGCCCGGCCTCCCACCCCCAACCCTCCGCACCCGGACACCTGTCTCCAATCCCAGGTGCAATGGAGGAGGAGCCGCCTCCTCAAGCGACCTCTTGTGCAGCACCCACAGTGCGGCCCCCACCCTGCCTCTGCCCTCCTCTTGACCCCTGACCCCCCCCGCCCCCCAGAACTTCACTGGGCTAGGGGAGCCCGACTCCATTCGCTGTGACACCCGAGAGCAGCTGCTGCTGAAAGGATGTGCGGCTGACGACATCATGGACCCTCAGAGCCTGGCCGAGATCCAGGAGGACAAGAAGGGCGGCCGGCAGCAGCTGTCCCCGCAGAAAGTGACGCTCTACCTGAGACCAGGTAGGCTTGGCCTCGGCCGGGGTCAGGGGGCACCAGCATGTTGGTGGCTCTGGGCGCCAGGGCTGGGTGATGGTCCAGGCGTCTGGTGGCCGGGTTGGGCAGCAAGGCAGGCGAGCCCCGGAGACCTAGAGACTGTTGGACACTCAGCCAAGGGAGCATGGCCCCTGCCCTCCGCCTGCGGGAGGACCCCCCACGCCCACCATCGGCGGCTCTGTGCTTCGGCTCTGTGTCCTTTCCAAAGGGGAGGAGGAACTCTTCTATCCCCGTCAGGGGCTCTTGGCAGAGTAAAAGCCCTGATGAGTCCTGTAGCCAGGGAGCCTGAGCGACGTCGGAGTCATTGCTGCTCAGACTGACTTGACAGCAGAGCCCCGCCAGTGCTCCGGGAGGAGTCCTTGGGGGAGGCGGGCCTGGTGGGAGGACCAGGACCACGGGGCGGACGGGCCAGGGCGGGGCTGGGTGAGCACTGCCCCCCTGGTGCAGCCCGGCAGGCGGCACAGACGGAGAGACGACCAGACCCCCTCCCTCCATCGTTCACCCTCCCGTCACGTGTTTGCTGAGCACCTGCTACGCTGAGGCTGGGACAGGGGCCTGCGTCCGGCTGGGGGGTGCCGGGGATGGAGCAGGGCTGGTCCGGGCAGCCAGGTGCCCGTGCATGGCAACAGTGCTCCTTGAACGAGGACTCGGTGGGATGAGTAGGTCCGGAAGGTTCTCCTAGAAGTTCGAGTCTAGCCGGGAGCCCGGTGTCGTGTCCATAGGCCTCGGAGGAGGGGACGGTGATGAGACCTCGGGGCCCGCAGAGGGCAGGTCGGGGCCCGGGAGACGCCTTCACACTCGCCCCGTCTGCCCGCAGGTCAGGCAGCTGCCTTCAACGTGACCTTCCGGCGGGCCAAGGGCTACCCCATCGACCTGTACTACCTGATGGATCTGTCCTACTCCATGCTGGACGACCTCATCAACGTCAAGAAGCTGGGGGGCGACCTGCTGCGGGCGCTCAACGAAATCACCGAGTCCGGCCGCATTGGTGAGGCGACCCTTGGGTCCCAGGCGGGCCTGCCGCTCATGCCCCTCCCAGAGCCACGAAGGGCAGGGCGGTGGGGTGGGGGGTGCTGCCTGGGTCACCCCCCAGCCATACCTGGCCACCCCCAGCCACTGCCAGCCACCCCTGGGTCACCCCCGGCCACCACTGGGTCATCCCCCAGCCACCCCTGGGCCACCTCCAGCCACCCCTCATCCACCCCCAACCCCCCCAGCCCCTCTAGGCCACCCCAGCCTCCCCAGCCACCACCCCCCGACACTGCCATGCAGCCCTCCGCTTCCTCCCTGCTCCGTCCTTCTCCTTCCAGCGTGTCTCAAACACAAAGCCGTACGTTGCTCTTTATTAAAAATTAGAGAACCGCCCCTCCCCCCCGCAGTGTGTGACCTGCACGGTGTCTGCCCGAAGTGCAGCAAACCTGCACGGCCCGAGTGCCGGCGGGGCCTTGGCGCTGACACCCACGGGCGCATTCCGCACCCCCCCCCCCGCACATCCCGGCGCCCGCGCGTGAGGCCAAGGGGACACCTGCCTTTCCTCCCTGTGTCTGCCCGGCCGCTGTGTCCGTGTGCAGGGCCGCACGCCCAGGCCCACGCTGCATGTGCACACGTGCGTGCTCACACACACATGTGTGCCGTCACACTCATGCACGTGGGCGCGTGCGGACCCCACACCCGCCCCGGTGGGCGGCAGGGAAACCGAGGCTTGTCGCCGTGTGCCCCCGCCCCCGTGCTCATCCCGCCCCCCCTCAGGCTTCGGGTCTTTTGTGGACAAGACGGTGCTCCCCTTCGTCAACACGCACCCCGAGAAGCTGAAGAACCCGTGCCCCAACAAGGAGAAGGAGTGCCAGGCGCCGTTCGCCTTCAGACACGTGCTGAAGCTCACGAACAACTCCAACCAGTTCCAGAGGGAGGTCGGGAAGCAGCTGATCTCGGGGAACCTGGACGCGCCCGAGGGCGGGCTGGATGCCATGATGCAGGTCGCCGCGTGCCCGGTGAGGTCCCCCCCGGCCCTGGGGCCCTGAGCTGGCCCGCTCCGCCCCGCCCCCTGCCCCCCGTGGGGCCTGCCACTCAGGCCCCCCCCCCCCGCCGGCACCGGGCAAACCCTGAGGTGCCTCAACCTATGTGAACAGCCTAGGGGGGGCCGACCGAGTGGTGTGACCCCCCGCAGCTCCCGGACGGCGTCCCCCCACCGCTGGGCCCCCAGGGCAGGGAGCGTCCCTGTGCCTGCCCCCTGCCCTCTCGCTGGCCTGGCGGTGCTGGCGGGTCCCCTCCACCCGCTGCGTTGATGGCCTGTCAGGCTACAGACAACAGCCTGGGTTTTTGTTTTTGTTTTTTTTTTAAAGATTGTATTTATTTATTCCTGAGAGATACAGAGAGAGGCAGAGACCCAGGCAGAGGGAGAAGCAGGCTCCATGCAGGGAGCCCGATGCGGGACTCGATCCCGGGACCCCGGGGTCACGCCCTGGGCCAAAGGCGGTGCTAAACTGCTGAGCCCCCCGGGCTGCCCAGGTTTTTTGTTTTTTAAGATTTATTTATTTATTGTAGAGAGAGAGGGAGAGAGCTCAGAGGTAGAGAGAGAATCTCAAGCAGAACATGGTCCCTATGGGGGGCTCCATCCCATGACCCCGAGATCGCGACCTGAGCTGACGCCAAGAGTCAGATGCTCAACCGACTGAGCCCCACAGGTGCCCCCCCTTTTTATATTATTATTTATTTTCATTTTTTTATGGCACCGTGTTTTAAACCTTCAGAGACCAGGTTCCAATCCCCCAGCATGTGCGGGTCCCCGGGCACATCGTACCGCCTCTCTGTCCACGGCACACGTGTCGCTAGCGTCCCCTGGTCACCCGTGTCCCCTTGCGAGCCCCTCGGTTTCTCTCATCTTTTGTGCCTTCCGGGTTTCCACATGGCAGTGGCCATGCCTGTGAGTCGGCTCCTTCCGTTCCCAGGGACGTTTCCTTAGGATCAGTCCCTGGCCCAAATGGCCACAGAGGGTCTACGCTTCATCTCAAGCCCCCAGCATCCGGCCCGTGTGCATGGGCGGCCCTCGAGCAGCCCCGGCGTGGACCCCGCGTCCCGGCCAGGGTCCTGGAGGAGCCAGGGGCACGGGGATGGCCCGGGCCTTGGGGCGGCCCCCCAGGCCCTGCCCGCCAAGGCCCCTAACCTGGCGTCTTCTCAGGAGCAAATCGGCTGGCGCAACGTCACTCGGCTGCTGGTGTTCGCCACGGACGACGGCTTCCACTTTGCAGGCGACGGGAAGCTGGGTGCCATCCTGACCCCCAATGACGGCCGCTGCCACCTGGAGGACAACATGTACAAGAGGAGCAATGAATTTGTGCGTGGTGCCCCGCATCCTGGGAGGGAGCAGACCATGCGGTCCCCGGGAGGGGTGGCCGGGGCTCTGCCCCAGGGGAGCAGGGAGGTGGCAGCCCAGGGAGCCCAGGGGCCGGGGCCCTCCGTCCAGGGGCAGGCAGTGTCCTCGGGCCTGGAGGGGTCAGCGCCTGGCACAGGAGCTCGCCTCCGCCTGTGGCCCACCGCCGCGGCCCTGGTGGAGCAGCCCTGGGCTCCGTCCCTGACCCCGGCCGTCTGACCGGGCCTCTCCCCCCCAGGACTACCCGTCGGTGGGCCAGCTGGCACACAAACTGGCCGAAAGCAACATCCAGCCCATCTTCGCGGTGACCAAGAGAATGGTGACGACCTATGAGGTGGGTGGAGCCGGGGTGCCAGCGGCTGGGTGGGCCGCAGGCAGGTCGGTGGCCGCGTACCCGCGGGGTGGACATGGGCCAAGCTCCGGAGGCGGGCACGGGTGGGGGCTCTGACGGGAAGGAGGAAGGACGTCCCCGCGGGGGAGCCGTGGCTAGCCTCCGTGTTCCCCCGAGCGCGACGACGCGGCCAAGCCCCGCACACCCCGCTCTCGGCCTGCGGGCCCGCGCGTGGGGACCCAGGCTCTCCATGGGCGTCAGGTGCCCGCAGCCAAGCGCCCGAGGCGCCCCGCCTGCCCGCAGGAGCCCGCGCCCTCGCTGACCGCGCTTCCTTCTCGGCTTCGGGAACCGAGTGTGCCCTGACTTCACGGAATCGCTGTTCCTGTTCCTTCCCCCAGGGCGCGGGGATCCTCCCGGCTTCGGCCGTGCTTCCTGCCCCGTGGGGCACTGCCTCGTGAGCGGGGCTGGGGTGGAGCGGGGCGGCCTCTCCGGCCCGGAAGGCTGCAGGGGCACCTGCTGGCCCCCCCGCAGTCCTGCTTTCCGTCGTGGGGGGCCTGCTGCCGCTTGGGGGGGGGTGCAGGGGGGGTGCTCTGCAGGTGCCAATGCCCGGGGCGGCTCCTGCTCCCTGTTTTCCAGACTCCAAAAGAGGACAGGACCCTGCAGGAGGCACAGGGGAGGGGCCCCAGCGGGGGGGGGGGGTGGGTAGCTTGCCGAACCAGGGGCCGGTGGCTCCGTGCAGGGCTGATGACCCAGTGCCACCACCTGCTCTGGCTGCGAGCATGGGCAGGTCAGGGTTGGCAGCTGTGCTCCGGGGCGCAGCGGGTCCCCGGGACAGTGCACTGCTGCAGGGGAAGCTGAAGCAGGAGCCTTGAACCCTAAACCCGCACTAGAGGGACCTTCCCTCGGCGGATCCCTGCCCTTCCTGAGCCTCCTTCCTGGGGCTCCTGTGTGAGGGGCATCGAGATGACCCAGAGCCTGCAAGGAGAGCATTTGCGGGACCATCCTTGGGGTCCCCACATGGTGGGGAGAGCAGGTCGGAGGGGCAGGGCGGAGAAGAGCCCAGCTTCCCAGAGCCATGGTGGTCCGTCGCCCGGGGTGGAGGGGAGAGGGCGGTGGAGGCCACGGGGCTTGGCAGCTGGGCTGTGACGGTCCCTAGGGGCCCCGTGGAGGTACCTGGACTCCATCTGGGGAGTCATGGGGGGCGCTTTGGGGCAGAGAAGTGACCCAGCCATCAGTCCTGTGAAAGACCGAGTGAGGGGAACGCGGGGGCACCAAGGTGTCCTGGAGGCTGGCCGCAGGCTGCCCACACACGGGGCCGTGGGACTGGCCGCCCGCCAGCCAGTTGTCCCCTGCCTGCCTGACGCAGCCGTCCTGAACATTAAGTCACACCAGCACATTAAAATGCTCAAAACTCATCCCTCCCCGACGGCATCGGCCCATCTTATGGCTCTGGGCCCTTGGCTGGACCTGACGTAGCCACATGCTGGGGATGCTGGTGGCCAGGCATGTCGCCCCCCAGCCCCCAGCTCACGGCCAGGGGCGCCCGCGGCTTGGGGTCGCCTGAGGAGGAGCCTGTGCGGCAGGAAGTCCTGAGTCGCTGACCACACGCGGCCCTGAGATACCTGCCACGGGGCGGCCTGGGCCGGTTCCCGAGCAAGAAGGAAACCCCCTGGGCTGTTAGGGAAGCGGCGGACGCTGCGGCTTCGGTGGCGGCCCGGGTGCCAGCTGAGACGGGTCTGGTCTCCTCGCCCAACAGAAGCTCACCGAGGTCATCCCCAAGTCAGCGGTCGGGGAGCTGTCGGACGATTCCAGCAACGTGGTCCAGCTCATCAAGAACGCCTACAACGTGAGTGCTGGGGCTCGGCCGGGGTCCCCCCGCAGGTCAACAGGGGCTGGTCTGCGGAGAGGGGCCCCGCTCTCTGGTGTGCCTCCTGCGCACGGGGCCTGGCTCTCCCCGCAGGACAGCCACTCCCCTGGGGCGGCGGGGCCTGGGCCGCACCCAACGCTCACCTCTGCCGCCCGCGGAGCAGGAGCACCAGCCTCCCGTGCACCGCGGAGAGCGCCCGAGACGGGCCGGTGCCCTCGGATTCACCTAGAGCCCCGTGGAGGGTGTCCTGTGCACCCCAGACCCCCGAGGCAGGCCCTCCTGGGTGTCTGTTGTCACGGCCACGACACTGGCACGCCCGTTCGCCTCTGACTTGGTCTCTTGGTCTAAATAGAGACTTGGTCTCTTGGTGACTTGGTCACGCCCCTTCTGTCTTGGTCTCTGCCTTGGTGTCTCCCTCTCTCTCTGTCTCTCCCTCTGTTTATCTCTCCCTCTCTATCTCTCCCTCCGTCTCTTCCTCTGTCTCTGTCTCTCCCTCTCTGTCTCTCCCTCTCTGTCTCTCTGTCTCTGTCTCTCCCTCTCTCTGCCTCTGTCTCTCTCCCTATCTCTCCCTCCCTTTCTCCCTCTGTCTCTGTCTCTCCCTCTCTTGCTCTGCCTCTGGCTCTCTCCCTCTCTATCTCTCTACCTCTCCCTCCCTCTCTCCCTCTGTCTCTGTCTCTCTGTCTTTCCCTCTCTGTCTCTGTCTCTCCCTCTCTGTCTCTGTCCCTCTCTCATCCCCGCACACAGTTTCTCCAGCCCCTGGCCCACTCCAGGCACTGGGCGTGTGGTGGCGGGTGGGACGATCGGGCTCCCGTCGGTCCCTTCGCTGGCCTGTCCCAGGGGCCGTGCCGCCACCCGCAGGGGGCACAGGACCTGCCGGCTCCCCACTCTGCGTGGCGGGTGGCCGGGGGAGGGAGGCCGGCACCCCGGGGCAGCCGGGAGGGGCGGGGACGGCGGGAGGAAGGCCCTGACCCGAGCCGCTCTGCCCGCAGAAACTGTCCTCCAGGGTCTTCCTGGACCACAGCCTGGCCCCCAGCACCATCAAGGTCACCTATGACTCCTTCTGCAGTAACGGGGTGTCGCAGGTGGACCAGCCCAGAGGGGACTGCGACGGTGTCCAGATCAACGTCCCGGTGAGACCCTGTCCCGACCTTCCAGAAGGTTCTCTCCTGGGGACGGGCCGGGGCCAGGGGCCAGCGTCGGCCGCCCATCCAGGCCCCGGTCTTCCACTCCGTCCAAGGCGGCCAGCCGCGGCCTCTGTGAGGTTGTGGGTCAGGCGTCAGGAGCCAAGCAGGTGCGGGGCTGGCTCCCGCGGTGTAGACGGAGCGCCGAGGGGGAGGCGGCGCCCCCTGGAGGCGGTGCTGGGGCCGCGTCCCCACGAGGAAGGGAGTCCTTCCCAGCCCTCCGCAGAACTGCTTTGGTCTCGTTTCCTGATTTTTGTGTTTGGGGTTTTTTGTTTCTTTTTTAAGAAGTGTTTTATTTTATTTATCTATTTTTAAGTAGGCCCCACACCCAGGGTGGGGCTGGAACTCATGACCCTGAGATCAAGAGTCGGATGCTCCGCGGACGGAGCCAGCCACGCACCCGTTTTGTTCTTTTGGCAAACATATGAGAGCATGGCCCACGCAGATGATGAGACATAGGCGCGGAGTTATCCCCTTCGTACTTTGATTTTATTATAACCATAAAAATTAAATTTTTCCCTTTCACGGCTGTGAACTAATATTCAGCAAAATACTAGTTCTTTGCGTGGCACTTTTAAATACGACCTTGGAATTCCTTCAAATATGTTCCTTGCTAAATGTTGCGTGTAAATTCTTACTGAAACAGCTCTCCCTCGCGCTGGGCGACCCACACGGGAGTTTATTCAGTCTCACGACTGGCTGGTTGTGTCCTCCACTTTTTTTTTTTAAGATTTTATTTATTCATGAGAGACAGAGAGCGAGAGAGAGGCAGAGACACAGGCAGAGGGAGAAGCAGGCTCCATGCAGGGAGCCCCACGTGGGACTCGATACAGGGTCTCCAGGATCACACCCTGGGCTGAAGGCGGTGCCAAACCGCTGAGCCACCCAGGGGTCCCTGCGTCCTCCACGTTTTTCCCAATATTTCTGTCCTACCCGAATGTCCTCTGTAGCAATTTGTTGAAATCTCTGTGTTTCTGGCATCTTCACGAACCACATGCAAGGAGCAGCCCCTAAATCTCCTTTCTGACATACGGTTGTTAAAAATATTCCTGACGCGGCCCCCCCGCCCCGCCCCCAGCGTAAGGCTGAGCCAGAGATGATGGGTGTGGGGAGCACACACCCACAGGAGGGCCTGCCACCCCCACCTCCTGTGCCCCAAACTGGGGGTCCAGACGTCCTCCTCTCTGTTCCCACATCAGGTCCCGGATTAATGCCCAGGGTCTGGTGTTCTCCCCATCCCCATGCTTCCGTCCACGCCCCACCCCCCCGGGGCCCAGGGCAGGCTCCTGGACAAACCCCCAGGTCCAGGCCGCAGGGCCAGGAGAGGGGAGCAGGGTGCCCTGCTGCCCAGCCTCGCCTGAGCCCGGCTCTTCTCCATGACAGATCACCTTCCAGGTGAAGGTCACAGCCACGGAGTGCATCCAGGAGCAGTCGTTTATCATCCGGGCACTGGGCTTCACGGACACGGTGACCGTGCACGTCATCCCCCAGTGTGAGTGCCGGTGCCGGGACATGGGCCAGGACCACGGCCTCTGCAGCGGCAAGGGCTCCCTGGAGTGTGGCATCTGCAGGTGAGGTGGTGCAGGCAGGTGCGCCGCGCGGCCAGGGGAGCCGGACAGAGGGGCAGCCAGCCCACGTCACCGTGGGAACCTGAGCCTGGCTGCTCCCGCCGCAGGTGTGAGGCTGGCTACATCGGGAAGAACTGCGAGTGCCTGACGCACGGCCGCAGCAGCCAGGAGCTGGAGGGCAGCTGTCGGAGGGACAACAGCTCTCTCATCTGCTCGGGGCTGGGGGACTGCCTCTGCGGGCAGTGCGTGTGCCACAGGAGCGACGTTCCCAACAAGAAGATCTTCGGGCGCTACTGCGAGTGTGACAATGTCAACTGCGAGCGCTATGACGGGCAGGTGTGCGGGGGTAAAGGTGAGCGTGGTGTGGCCAGAGGGACGGGTGAGTGAGGATGGGCAGATGGACAGGCATACAGGGGGACAGGGAGATAGGGGTCAGGCGGACAGGGGGACAGGTGGACAGGTGGACAGGTACACAGAAGGGTGGGGATAGGGGTCAGGCAGATAGGGGGACAGGGAGACAGGGGGACAGGCGAACAGGGAGATGGGGGGTCAGGCAGACAGGGGGACAGGTGGACAGGCAGATGGGGGTAGGGGGTCAGGCGGACGGGGGACAGGGGGACAGGGAGACAGGGGGGTCAGGCAGACAAGGGGACAGGTGCACAGGTGCACAGGCAGATGGGGGTAGGGGGTCAGGCAGACAGGGGGACAGGGGGACAGGGAGATGGGGTTAGGCAGACAAGGGGACAGGTGGACAGGTGCACAGGCGGATGGCGGTAGGAGGTCAGGCGGGGAGGGGGACAGGGGTCATGTGGACAGGCAGACAGGGGGATGGGGGACAAGTGGACAGGGGGACAGGGAGACGGGGACAGGCAGATAGGGAGACGGGTCAGGTGGACAGCCGGACGGGGGAGAGCGGTGGCACTGGGCGCGGGCGGAGGGCGGTGCTGAGCGTGCCCGTCGCCCGCAGTTCGGGGCTCCTGCAACTGCGGCAAGTGCAAGTGCGAGTCGGACTACGAGGGCTCGGCGTGCCAGTGCGTGAAGTCCACCCAGGGCTGCCTGAGCACGGAGGGCATCGAGTGCAACGGGCGCGGCCGCTGTCGCTGTAACGTGTGCGAGTGTGACGGGGGCTACCAGCCGCCGCTGTGCGGGGACTGCCTGGGCTGCCCGTCGCCCTGTGGCCGGTACATGTGAGTGCCTGCGCCCGCCTGCCCCCGCGCCTCCTCCAGGAGCACCTCCCCTCTGCCCCCCTCATGGCCCTCGCCACGGAGCCCCGGCCCCCCCATGGACCCCCCTGGCCTGGCAGGCCTGTCCCCGCCTGTCCCCGGCAGGCCTGTCCCCGTGTGCTCACCCCGCACCGGCCCCTCCGCAGCACCTGCGCCCAGTGCCTGAAGTTCAAGCAGGGCCCCTCGGGGAGGAACTGCAGCATGGAGTGTGGGAACGTGGGCTTGCTGAGCAAACCCCCGGAGAAGGGGCGCAGGTGCAAGGAGCGGGATCTGGAGGGCTGCTGGATCACCTACACGCTGCGGCAGCGGGCCGGCTGGGACAGCTATGAAATCCACGTGGACGACAGCCGGGGTGAGCCCGGGGACGCAGGCGTGGAGATCGATGCGCGACGTGGCGGGGGCGTGGGGTGGCGCGGGCGCAGCCTGCCCTTGGATGGAACCCCGGGATGGGACCAGGAGGACCAGGGGAGACCCACGGGCCCCGGCAGGTGCTGTGTGGGGTCAGTCGGTGTTGAGGAGAATGCTGGGTCGGTGACAGTGACACACCCGGGGACTGGGGCTTCGGGGGCTTCGGGGGCACGGATGCATGGTGGGATGGGTTTCGGGGCTCTGGACAAGCAGCACCCAGGGGCACGCAGGGCACACAGACTCTCAGCACTCCCCTTTCCCGCTCAGAGAGCCGAGGGCCTGGCAGCCCAGGAGGCCCAGCCCCCGGGGGAGGGCACCAGGTGCAGGCAAGCCGTCCCCTGGCCCTGCAGCCCTGGGACCTGCTCCCAGCTCCCCTCCCCACGGGGGAACCGGGAAGCCGGGGGTCTCAGGCCCTGTGTGGCCTGGAGCTCACAGCCTGTGTCTGGGGCTGCAGATCGTGGCCTGGCAGGGGGCAGGGGTTTGGGGGGGAGGTGGCCTTTGTGGGGCTCCTTCGATGGCAGCTTGGGATTACGTCTGAGTTTGTGCAGCCTTGGCCACGTCGCTCAACCTCTGTAGGGCACAAAGGTCCTCCAGAAAGGCCAGGATGATGGAATGTCCAGGGGCAGGGAGTCAGGGACAGGGTGTCCAGAAGCGGGGTGTCCAGGGGCAGGGGGTTAGGGTCAGGGGGTCCAGGGGCAGGTGTCCAGGGGCAGGGCGTCAGGGGCAGGGGTTCAGGGGCAGGGTGTCTGAGGGCAGGGGGCAGGGTGTTTAGGTGCAGGGGGGCAGGTGTAGGAGGGCAGGGTCAGGGAGATAGGGACAAGAGGCAGATGCAGGAGGGCAGGGTCAAGGGGGCAGGGGCCGGAGGCAGGGGCGGGGGTGGCAGGGACAGAGGGCAGGGACAGGGGGTCAGGGGCAGGGAGTTAGGGGCAGGGAGTCCAGGGGCAGGGGGCAGGGGTGGGGGCTCAGGGGCAGGGGGTCAAGGGGCAGGAGGTCAGGGGCAGAGGGCAGGGGCAGGGGGTCCAAGGCTAGGGGTGCAGGGGTGCAGGGGGACAGGGTGTCTAGGTGCAGGGGGGCAGGTGCAGGAGGGCAGGTGCAGGGGGCAGGGGCAGGAGGCAGGGGCAGGGAGGCAGGGACAGGGGGCAGGGGGGCAGGTGCCGGAGGGCAGCGGCAGGGGGCAGGGGCAGGAGGCAGGGGTGGGGAGGCAGGGACAGGGGGCAGTGGGGCAGGGGCAGGGGCAGAGGGGCAAGGACAGGGGGCAGGGGCGGGGAGGCAGGGACGGGGGTAGGGGCAAGGAGGCAGGGGCAGGTGTCCAGGGGCAGGTGAGTGAGGGCCCTGTCCCCCGGTCAGGGGCTGAGGGGTGGCACATCGCTGCCCACGGCCCTGAAGGAGGAGGAGGAGGCGGGGGCATGAGGACCCCACTCGGGCGTCACTGGTGGGTCGTCATCCCCAAACTGGGCCCAAGGTGATGTTGGGGCGTCGGGCACCCCGTCCTACCGAGGGTTACCTCCGTGCCCAGGAGCTCTGGTGAGCGGGCCGCTGCCGTCCCAGCTGTGGCAGCCGCATCGGGAGGCTCGGGGCTGGTCCTGGCTGTGCCGCGGCTCCCGGCATCTGGGGCGCCCGTTGCTCTCCACGTGAACCAGGGGCCTCTATGCCTCACCGGGTCCGGCCCTCCCTGGCTGGGCTGGGGGCTCCCCCACGGCCCCGTTGCCCGGATGGTGAGCACAGAGGTGGGACAGCCCTGTGCACCTGGGCGCTGGGCCGTGACCTGGGGCAGAGCACACCTGGGGCCAGGTGAGCGGGGGTGGGGTGGGGGGCAGCCTGACACTCTTGTGTGTGCTTCCTCCTCGCTCCAGAGTGTGTGGGGGGCCCCCAAATCGCCCCCATCGTGGGCGGCACCGTGACGGGAGTTGTGCTCATCGGCATCCTCCTGCTGGCCATCTGGAAGGCTCTGACCCACCTGAGTGACCTCCGCGAGTTCAAGCGATTCGAGAAGGAGAAGCTCAGGTCCCAGTGGAACAACGTGAGTGGCTGTCCCCGGGGGAGGGCGGGGGGGGGACTGTCCGGCCGTTTGCCCCCGTCGTTCATCCTCGGGCCCCCGGGAAGGCCACCCCTGCTCCTGGATGCTTCTCCCCCCGCTGACGAGCCGCACTGCCTTTCCCACCAGGACAACCCCCTTTTCAAGAGCGCCACCACCACAGTCATGAACCCCAAGTTTGCTGAGAGTTAGGGCGCTCGGCGGAGACGGCGCTGGCTGAGCGTCGGGTGGAAGCCCCCGAACCACGTCTCCCCGTCAGGCTCCTCCAGGGACGGGGCTTACCGCGCTCCTCGATGTCACCCACCAACGGATTAATACATGTGCTCAAGTAATAGATACGGTCAGGTGGCGACACGGCCCGTCAGAGGGACAGCCTCCCGCTGCGGGCGTGTCCCACCTCGTGGGCGAGACCTGGAGGGGCTGCTTGGGTCTTACGAGGGTAGGCGCGTTTTTCTATAAAACTTAGAGTGGCAATCTCATTGAAGTGGCACAAATTTATTTATATTTGAACTTTTCGGGGTACTAAATCACATCCCATTGGTTATATTGTTTCCCCCATGACGTGTATCAAATAAATTAATAAAATTTCAGTGGCGGCTGTCTCTGCTCCCTCGAGGGTCCCTGCGGACCGCGGGCTGGGGCACGAGCGCCTCCTCTTGCGTTTGTCCTTCCTGCCCTGTTGGCCCGACGTCCACAGCGCTCCCTGCCCCCATCCCTGCCCCTCGTCCTAAGCAGCTTTCAGAAGTCACGCGAGGCAGCGTCCCCGAAGGGGCCGTCTGCGGAGCGCGGGGACGGGCATCTGGCAGGGTTCTAAAGTTAGTTTGTCGCCGGTGAGCTGGGTGACAGCCCGCCCTAGGCGTTCCGGTCCACGTTGGCGCCCGGCGGTGACGACCAGGACACATGAGTGCCCGCAGCAGGCCCGGGGCCGTGGGCTCGGTGTGGGCCGGGGCCAGGGGGAGCCCGGCAGGCTGGGGAGGGCCCGCGGTCCCCCGGGGCAGGGCCACGTTCCTGTCCTGTGCAGCCTCACCAGTGCTCGGGCCGTGTCTCAGCTCCGGATCTCCGGGTCCAGGAGCGGCAGGGGGTGCACAGGGGGGGCACAGACGCAGGGCAGCCGACGTGTGGATCTGCAGTCACCACAGAAACGTGCTTTCAGATGATGTGTACGCAGATGCTATTTCCTTTTTTTTTTTTTTAGATTTTATTTATTCATGAAAGACTCGCAGAGAAAAAAAAAAAAGAAAGACACAGAGAGAGGCAGAGACACGGGCAGAGGGAGAAGCAGGCTCCCTGCAGGGAGCCTGACACGGGACTGGATCCCGGGACCCCGGGGTCACACCCTGGGCTGCAGGTGGCACTAAGCCACTGAGCCACCCAGGCTGCCCTGCTATTTCCTTTAAAAAAAAAAAAGTTTTCTACGTATAAAATTCTTTATTAAGATCCCAGCTTAACTCAGCGGGCCCCCTGGCTGGCTCCGCGGGTTAAGCATCCAACTCTGGGTTTCGGCTCAGGTCATGACCTCGGGGTTGTGGGATCGAGCCCCAGGTGGGGCTCCACGCTCATCAGAGTCTGCTTCACATCCTTTCTCCCTCCCTCTCCTCCCCTCCTCCGAGCACGCTACCCTCCCCCAAAATAAATAAACAAAATATTTAAACAAACGAAGCAACCCAGCTGCTCATTCCAAAAGCACTGACGGGGCGGTGCCGCAGCCGGTCCCGGCGGAGCCAGGCGGAGCAGACACGCAGAAGTCCCCACGCAGCCGGGACCCGACTACAAGCGTGTGCCGGGCTCGGGAAGTGTGTGATGCAGGACGTAGAGCAAAGGTTCCAGACAGAAACCCGAGGACCGGCCGCTGCTGCTCCGAGTCCACGCCGCTGGCCGTTCCTTCCGCGGGAGGAAGCGCCTGGCCCACCCCGGGGCGTGGGCATCGGCCTCCCCTGCTCCTTTGTGCCCGGAGGCCTCCCTGTGACCTCATCCCACCCGAGGCAGCCTTTGTTGATGATTTTATCAATTTGAGAGAGAGACAGAGAGAGAGAGAGAGAGAGAGAGAGGAGGGTGCACATGAGCAGGGGAGGGGCAGGGGAGATGCGGGACTCGATCCCAGGACCCGGAGATCACCACCCGAGCAGAAGGCAGATGCGTCACCGACAGAGCCCCCGGGAGCCCCAGGCTGTATTTTCTCCACCCAGGATGTTGAAACCCAACTGAGCAAACTGGAATCACCCCACAACTCCTGCCGCACCAACGTTGGTGACGCTGCCCCGTCAGCTGTGACCCCCCCAGGAACGCCCCCGTGTGAGGTGAGCCCGTCTTGCACATGGCCTGTGACCCCAGGTCCCTACTCTGGACCCCAAGGCCCTGCAGACACCCGGTCACGTCCCAGGGAAGTCTGGCATCTTTCCACCGACGGGCTCTCCTGCCCCAGGGCCCCTTCCCTACACGGCCGTCTACACACGCTTGGGGGGGAGGTAACTGTTTCCTTCTCCTGCACAGGGCTGGGGTTCTCCCCCACGGCCCTGTCCCCGCTCCGTCTCGAGCCTCCAGCCGGGGCCTCTGCACTCTCTAAAGGGGGGCCGGGGGGTGTCAGGGTGACCTGGGCGTGCGTCCACAGCCAGGCCCAGCGACCGGCAATGCGAGCAAACCTCTGTAAAGGCTCATACACGAGGGGAGCCCGATCAGATTTCCAAGTCGGCGTGACTGTCCGCGACCCTCGCGGGACCCGGAGCCCGACTGCGGCCCGTCCCCCTGGGGCCCCTGCTCCGGGCCCCCAGCCGAGGGGATCGCGTGCTCCTGCTCCCGCGTTCCTTCGCTGCACAACTGTGACTCCCCCCGTCTGTCCGCGTGGCTGTCACCTTAGTCCTTTCACAGGATGTAAGGAGCACGCGGCCCCGTGAACACTGTCCGCGCTCCAGAGCCCTTCCTTCCCTGTGTCCCGTGAAGAGCGTGCTTGGGCTCTTTTCTCTCTTATAGCGATCCTACAGGTTTCTTCATTTTTTTGTAAACACCAATTCCGCCGGTTTGCCCGGGGTGTCCCGGCCTTAACCCCGAAGGTCCTCAGTCCCGGGAATGCGAGACGCCTGGGCCAAGGCGGGTGGTGGGCCACCAAGCGGTTACCTCGGTTCTCTGAGGACGCGACCGTGCGTCCCGCAAATTCAACCCAATCTGGAGGTGGTGGCGGGTCCCACAGCTTAGGGGCTCGGTCCCACGGGGGCTCCTCCTTCAGATGCCAGTTGCCATGCCAGGCTGTCGCCTGTGCTTCTGATAACGAGCTGCCCATCCGAGATTCAGCTGACGCGCGGGAGCGGCCCGCGGACTCAGGAGAGCAGCCACCTGGCAGCTGCCCGCTGATTACAAAGGACCCGAAGGAACAGAGATGAGGAGGGCGAGGTTGGGGAAGGGGTGCAGAGCTTCGTGCCAGGGGCCCGCTCGCCCCCAGGGGCCGTTTGGAGTCTTGGGACCTGAGCCGACGGCCAAGAAAGAATTCTTGAGACGTCTTTGGTGCAAACAGGTGGTTTCAGTAAAGCACAGGGACAGGACCTGTGGGCAGGAAGCCTGGGTCCCTGGGATTGGGAGGAGCAATTTAGGCCTGAGGCCTTTGGGGGAAGTAAAGACAAAGGGAAGTTCCCAGAAGGACTTTCATAGGCTCAAGACTCAGGACAGCCCGAGGCCTGGCTGTCAGGCAGGCTCGGGGTGTCTTCCCCTCCGGTGAGGCATTGAGGCATTGAGGACAGTTGGGAGCCCCCGGGAGGAACCTGCACCCGGCTCACCTCAAGTGCTTGTCAACCGGGAGGGGGGTGGGGGAGGCAGGTTACAAGGACATTTTACTTTCCCTGCATTTCCTGGCCCTCTGTGCCCCACATCACCCACACCTCTATGTCTCCCCCCGCCCCCAGGAGCTCCCTGAACCCGTCGCTTTGGGCTTTCAGGGACGCCCCATCACGCAGACTGTTGAACTCACTGGTGATTGACGCGACCTCCAGCTCCTCTCCTCTCACAGGGTTGGTTTCCCCGGCCACCAGCACCCAAGCCGAGGAGCTTTCCAAACGTCACCCCTCAAACAGAAACTCAGAGGCACTCGAAGGGGGGCTGCTGTAAATAACAAAGGATACTTGGATCACTCTTACTTGGACTCAGGAAAGTCCAAGGGTCTTAGGAGCTTTGAGCCAGAATCAGGAAGACCAAGCATCTATGTCTTATTATATCGTATATCCCGCCTGGAATGTTGGTGAGTGAGGTCTGGAGCCGACGGCCAAGAAAGAATTTTTGGGACGTCTTCAGTGGAAAAAGGGATTTATTTTTTTTAGGCATTTTATTTATTTACTCATGAGAGACAGAGAGAGAGAGAGAGAGAGAGAGAGAGAGAGAGAGAGAAAGAGAGGCAGGGGGAGAAGCAGGCCCCATGCAGGGAACCCGATGCGGGACTCGATCCCAGGACCTGGGGGGGGGTCAACCCCTGAGCCGAAGGTAGATGCTCCACCGCTGAGCCCCCCAGGTACCCAAGCATCTGACTCTTTTTTTTTTTTTTAATTTATGATAGTCGCAGAGAGAGAGAGAGAGGCAGAGAGAGAAGCAGGCTCCATGCACTGGGAGCCCGACGTGGGATTCGATCCCGGGTCTCCAGGATCGCGCCCTGGGCCAAAGGCAGGCGCCAAACCGCTGCGCCACCCAGGGATCCCAGCATCTGACTCTTGATGGTGAGACTGAGCCCCACGTTGGGCTCTGCGCTGAGCCTGGAGCCAGCTTGATTCTCTCCCCCTTCCCCGGAGGGAAACAAATATGAACCAGCGTCACTCCAGGTCCATTTCCTGTTTTTGCGACACAGTCCCACTAACTTTTAAATGATTCTCAAGAAACCTTCCCACCACGTCCCCGTGGGATGGAGGGGAGCTGAGACTCTGGTGAAGCCCTGGCTCCAAGTCTGGCCCTGCATCTCACTGGCTGTGTGACCCTGAAAACGTTTTCTGTCTTGTCAAAGGACGGGAGCAGGGGCCACTAGAGCCCTTCCCGCCTGTTCCTGAGGGCTCCCCCCATCTGCGTCTCAGGCCAGAGCAAATCCCTGGGACCAGGGACCAGGACCAGCTCCGAACCCAGGCGGCTAACAGCCCCTTGCAGCTCCCACGGAGCCATCCCACACATCCGGGCAGGGTCTGTAGCAGCCCTTGACCCAACCGTGGCCTCTGTCCCCCTCCCTCCCTCCCTCCCTCCCTCCCCCACTGAGGCCCTCTGGTCCCCCCTGGTCCCCCCTGGCCCCCCCTGGCTCCTCTGGGGGCCCCTACAGATCCCTCCGAGGCTGTCCAAGGTCCAGGCCCTCCAGCGTTCCCAGGCCTCAGCTGAGCTGCAGATGAGCTCTCCCAGGACAGCGATCAGACCGGGGCTACCCGCCGGGAGCAGCTCTGCCCCTTTTCCGCGTGGCCTTTCTGGGAGTGACGCCTGAACCTGCCCAGAGGGATGTGCTCCGGGTGGCGGCAGACTCTGATGGCACCGCGGACCGCAAATAAAACGAGCCCGGTGAGAAGTGAGAAAGCCTGGGGGCGACTGGCACGGGCTTGGGTTCCCCCAGCAGCCTCCCGGCGCGCTCGGAGCCGCGGACCCCGGGGCGCCCCTGCGAGCCCTCGGGGCGAGCCCCCCCCGCCCGGCCTCTCCGACTCCGGTGGCCGCTGCACTGCGAGCCGTTCTCCGGCGGCGGCACCGCCACCCGGCCCCGGGGCACCCCGCCCGACCCGCTCAGCGCCCTACGCTCGGGGTCCCCGCGCCCAGCGCCCCGCGCCCCGCGCCCCAGGCAGGACGCGCCCCCGCCGCCGCGCAGGCGCACCGAGCCGCCGTGAGCGCCGCCCGCAGCCCGCCCCCTGCCCCCCGCGCACGCGCACTGAGCCGCGCCCTCGTCGCGCCGGGAGGCGGGGGGGTGGGGCCAGCGGCCGGGGGCGGGGGGGGCGGGGCGAACCGGGACCCGCGGCTGCGCAGTCGGCCTGCCGCTCGCCCCGCCCACTTCCGGCGCGCGGCTCTTCCGGGGGCGGGGAGGCCGCGGAGCTCGGCGGAGGGGACCGCGTCCGGCCGACGTCCGCCCCGAGGGCTCGGCCGCCATGGCGTTCGGCGGCGCCCGCGGGCTCGGGCCGCGCTGGGAGCTGCCCCGCGGCGCCGTCGCCTTGTTCCTGCTGCTGCTGTCGGCGGCCGCGACTCCGGAGCCGCCCGGCGCGGGTGAGGGCCCCGGGGCGGTTAGAGACGGCGCGGGGGGAGGGGCGGGGGGCGGGGCGGTGAAGGGGTCGCGGGCGGGGTCGCGGGCGGGGCGGTGAAGGGGTCGCGGGGTCCGGAGCGGGGGCTCTGGGTCCCGGTCGGAGCCGGGGAGGTGGCGGGGCCGCCCCCGCGCCCCGGGGCCTCCGCCCGGCCCACGCCCCCGCCCACGCCCCGGGCCCCTTGGGAAGGGGCAGCCGGGCCCTCGTCTCGGCGGAGCGGGCGGCGGTGTGCGGGCCTGCGGGGTCGTCCCGGCTGAGCCTCTCCGGGGAGCCCGCGGTGCTCGGTTCCGAGCTGGAAGCGGAGCCCGCTGCCTGCTGGAGCCCCAGAGCCGGCGGGTAGCAGGCGCCTGTGCACTGCAGGAGCGGACCTCGGTCGGGGCAAGCCTCGGGGGAGGCAGGAAAGCTGGGGCCGTGGTGGATTCCGCGGCTGCCCTGAGCGCGCCCCAGGCCTGTGCGCCCCGGGTCCTCCCACCTGTTCTCAGCCCGCCCGGTGCTGCGCGGTCCTGGGCCCGGAGGTCAGCAGGCAGAGTCCCTGCCGGCCTGGCCAAGAGAGTGCCCACACGCGAGGCGGGTCACCTGGGCCCAGGCTGACGTTTCAGAAAGTTCCAGAGACGGAGTGCTGCTGGAGCGCTGCTGGAGCGCCGCCTCCCGAGGGCCAGTGGAGGGGGACCCGGGTCCTCGGCCTCTGGGCCCCGGGGGAGTCCGAGAAGCTGGGCAGTGTCGCCGTTGGCCTGTTGCAGGACTGTCGTGCCGGCCGGCGTGTCTGGAGCCCGGCGAGATCGCCACAGGCAGGCCCCCTGACCTCCGCCCGGGGCTTTATGAGCAGGACCCCCTCGGGGCCAGGGTTTTCCTTCCCTCCCGGCAGCCTAGGCCTTGTCGCTCCGTTGAGCACAGCAGAGCACCTTTCTTCTGTGACTTACAGAGTGTTTGCTCAGGGGACTGTCGTGCCAGTCCACTTCACACGTACACGCGACCTTGTCCAGGCAGCTACCTGGACGTTTTTATGTGCAGCGGGATGGCAGTGCGTAGGGAACTTTTGGTCTAGACTGAGCCATAAGCGTGAACGTGGAGGGGGATCGTGTACCCGAGTAGGTGGATAAGCTGCGGGAAGTCTTTCTCCACGGCCAGCGGGCGTGTGCGTGACTGCAGTGCGCGTGTCAGGGGGCGCCGGCAGCGACCTGTGTGACCGCTCTGCCTGTTATACTGCCCCCCCTCCGTCAGGTGACCGGGGGTGGCCCTGGTGACTTCGTGTTTTCCATAGGGGCTTAGACCAGAGCTGCGGTTCCGTATGCCACAGCGCCTTCAGCCGCACGGTGTTCGCTCGCCGTCAGCTCAGGGGGCAGCTGCCCATCACCAGCCTCGGCTCCTAGGGATCACCTGTCTGGTTGGGATACACCCCAGGTCCTCGGTGGGTGGCGGGGTGCTCTTGTTTCCCCTGTCAGCAGCACCTCCTCATGGGGGAGTGGTGTGCTGGGTGGGTGCTTGCCAGCCGGTCCCCTGTTGCCCTTCCTCAGGGTCGGGGGGACTGTGAGAGCCCCGAGGCCCCCCTTCCAAGGCATTTGCTGCTTGTGCTGGAGGAGCAGGACTGCCGTTCACAGCCTTGCCAGGGCATTAGCGTTCTTAAGAGAAACCACCGGCAGGGTGTCTGTGGCTGTAGAGACGGATCACGAAGGGCTGGCGGGCGTGATGGTGGGGGCTGGGAAGCCCCACGACCTGCGTCTGCAGGTGGAGCTGTGGGAACCAGGTGCACCAGTGCCCAAGGCAGGAGAAGACAGTGGCCCGGCCTCAGCAGAGTCAGTTCTCTGCTCCTCTGCCTTTTTTTTTTTTTTTTTTTTAAGATTTATTTATTTATTTATGAAGAGAGAGGCAGAGACACAGGCGGAGGAAGAAGCAGGCTCCATGCAGGGAGCCTGACGTGGGACTCGATCCCGGGTCCCCAGGATCACACCCCAGGCTGCAGGCGGCGCTAAACCGCTGCGCCACCAGGGCTGCCCTGCTTCTCTGCCTTTTTTGTTCTCTTGGGGCCCCTGTGGATTGGGTGATGCCTGCTCGCATGGTGAGGACAGTCTTCCCGACTCTGTCTACCGGGGCGAACGCTGAGCTCCTGAAACACCTGCAAGTGTCTGTCATAGTGGAGGGGAGATGACCCCGAGCACCAGTGGCCCGGGGGATGCAGAAGAGCTCCGTTGTGGCCTCTGCAGGTGGGCGGGGTGGGGAGCCCACCCTCACTGCTCCTTAGGACGGGTGCTGGATTTGGAGGGGACTTGCCATTCCTGTCCTGCCCGTCTGCTGGTGAGACCAGGGCTTTCTTTTTTTTTTTTAATTTATTTTATTTATTTTTTATTTATTTATGATAGAGAGAGGGGCAGAGACATAGGCAGAGGGAGAAGCAGGCTCCACACAGGGAGCCCGATGTGGGATTCGATCCCGGGTCTCCAGGATCGCGCCCTGGGCCAAAGGCAGGCGCCAAACCGCTGCGCCACCCAGGGATCCCGAGACCAGGGCTTTCTAACCCGGTTGTAAGGGTGTTACAGCCAACCCATACACGGTACCCGTTATTTGTATGCACAGACAGCCCCCGCCTACACGGGTCCGACCTGGGACGTTCTAATGTCGTGGTGGCACAGAAGTGATGTGCACACAGTAGGAGCAGTGCTTGGCACTTCAGATGTGGGTCTTTGCCAGGCCAGCGCTGTGCGGTCACGGTTGTCCCATTGGTCACGGCCGTCCCGTTGGTCACGGCGGGCATTCGGTCATCACATGAGCTGCTCGACTCTCACGGGGTAGGCCCTGCCTGAGGGCTTCGCCCGCCCGCCGCCCCCTGCGTGTGCTCAGCACGTCGAAGATCGGCCAGGTGTATTTTTGTTAGAACATCTTCCACTTACAGTGGGTTTCTTGGGATGTAAGCCATCCTCGGTTGGGGAAGAGCCGTGCCACCCTCAAGCTCTCTTGTTCCTACTGAGCTAGGAAGACACGTGGGGCTTTTTGTCTGCGTGAACTTTTTACCCTTATTTCTCGTGGGAGCTTGTGATGTGGGTGCTTCCTGTGCGTCTGTCACCCAGTGGAGCAGATGCAGTGTCCAAGGAGGGGCTTGGTCTGCCGGCCCCGGCCCCTGGCCTGTGGTGTGACGCACGTGTGGGAATGTCCTCACTCGTTTTTTTTATTTTTATGAACCATTTCTTCACGACGAGGGTGTGTGTCCTCTGTACTTAACAGGCTCCCCTGCAGCTCCAGTGCGATGTGGGGCCTTGGGCCAGTGTATCTCAACACAGTGAACTTTTGTTTTCTTGCTTTGGTCTTTTTGTTTAATTTGCAAAGTGAATGATGTGTGACGTTTTCTGATCGTTGGGGAGTGGACTCTGGGTGGAGGATCTTCAGGCCCAGGTCTCGCGGAGCCGGGGCGTTGGGTCTTAGCGCTCAACTTAGGAAACAAGGGCAGCGCCTGCTTCTCGCTGGCTGTCGGCGCCTGGTTTTCCACGTCCCGTGACCAGAGAGGTGGGCCTCTGAAGCCCTAGCACGCGGTGAACGTGTTTGCCTGGCCAGCCGTGCAGGACGGTCAGGTGATCCGAGGGGGATAGTGGGCGGCCTCTCCCCGGCGCCCGCGTCCTGGAGCGCTGGACACAGAGCCCTCTGCCCGGCCAGGGCGGGGAGGAGCAGGGTGGTCGCCACCGACCCCTGCTCGCTGGTCCAGAGGCCATGGGGTGGGGTCGGATCGTGTGTCCGGGAGCTGAGTTCACACAAAGCCAACTGTCAAACATGAAAAGTCCCCATGACAGAGTTCCTCTAGCCTCCCCTGCCCCCTGTGGCTGCTCAGTCAAGACTGATGAGAAGTAGGACTTTTCTTGTAGAATCTTTCCAGAAGGACTTAAGAGTGGGTGTGTCAGCAGTCCTGCAGATTTTCACAGCGGCTTCCTGCCTAACTCTTTGTTCAGAAAAACGTCAAAGCTGCAGAAAAGTTGAAGGAATAAACAGTTTAGTTAACTTCCAAACGCCTTTGTGTTCTCAGCGTTTCCGGGTTTGCTTTGCGGCGCCCCGTGTGCTCGCTGCCCTTTTAACCAGCCCCGCGGGGAGCTGGCCGGCCCTTCCCCCGCAGCAGCCGGGCGGCCCTCCCGAGGCCTGGGGGCGCCAGGGGCATGCTCGGTGGGGACAACCGGGACAGCCGGCATCGCCATGATCCCTGAACTCCGTGATAGGGCCCGGGGCTTACAGACACGGTCCACCAGTTGCCCCAGGGCCGTCCTGTCCCTTCCCCCTCCTGGACACGAGGGGCATCTGGCCAGGAGGTCTCCCAAGCTCCCCTCGCCTCCTCGGTCTCAGAGGACGGCATTGTAGAAGGCCCTCCGTTGGTCCTGTCTGCTGGCCTCTACTTGGACTCCCGTTTGGCCAGGATTCAATCCCCTGTGGCTGGGTCCTTCACCCTGCACCCCCAGAGGCCACTTGCTGTCATTTCGTTCCCTCGTCCTGTCCTTATCGAGGCGATACCTCGGTCACTTCTAAGGTATCATCTTGTCTTCATAAGTAATTCAACCGCGGGGCGCTTGGAGGCCGCAAGGGCCTGTCACCTCACGGGTACACACTGTGGCCTCAGCGTCCAGATTTACCAAGATGACTGCAAATGGCAGGTTTTCAACCCGCTGCTTCGCCTTGGCCAGTCGGCCTTCCCTGTCCATGGGACATCCTGGACCGTTCGAGACGTTAGCGGCCATTGTTGTCAGCCACCTTGATTTGTCATTGTCCCTGTTTGGCAAGGAGGACCCCTGCCCCTTCAAGCTGGCTTCTGGATCCTTCAGTCATTGACCCCCTACATCTGTGCCACCATGGCACAGCAGTCTGTCCCAGGCCGGTCCTGTCC